AAAAAAAAAAAGGTTATATTTATATTTAAATTATTTTCAAAATCACAAAATCATCACCTTTTCAAACTACGAAAGTCAAGTTGGACAATAAAACGGCCGACACATATTCAACAAGAAATTTATTTACGTATCAATTAATTATTTTGTACATGATCTAGACTTATTTATAAACACAATTTCTACTGTAATTTTCTATACAAGGAGCACATGTGTGGAAAGAAATTTGAATCAAAATGTGTGGAAAGATTGGTCGCCAAAGCAATTTGAATCCAAATGTGTGGAAAGAAATTTCATCAGAGATTGATAACAGTAGCAGAAATACTGCCGAACCCCGTAAATAATGCATGGGATCCTCAGATAGTGCAATAAAAATGCAAGAAGTGGTAGAGGTGGCTGCCGAACAAGTGCTAGATATAGGTATGTCCCAAGTACTGCAGGAACAACAATTATTAACAAGAGAACAAATTCAGAATAAATATTAAAAAGGGACGCTTGAGCTTCTATTAGAACCATGGAAAAAAATTTAGAAAATAGGGATAATTACAAAATAAACAGTGGTTATTCAGTAAAAACCAAACATAAAATAAGTATACCTGGTTTTTATTCTTGCTCTGCACACGACAGGTAATCTTCTCAAAATTCTGCCAATATAAACTAGCTGTTAGCATACATTAAACATGGTAACTGATGTAATTCCTTAGATGAATAAACCATGACCTTGCCAACTTGTCGTAATGCACTAAAAAAGTTCTCCTGCTCTTGACGTGTCCAAGCAGCCCATTGGCGGGTTCTTTTCTGCCCTAAAGCACAAGTATCAAATAATACTAAAAATGCTGAACGGATATTTGAGCATAGTTTCATAATATTTCACAATTTGCACACTATTTGATTGAAGGTTAACGTGATTTGAATGTAAAAATGTACCAGATTTTTGAGTACCACTAGTCACTGAAGTAGACGGACCAAAATTATAATCTACATCATTCAGCAGTGCGCTTTCTGTGGAGGGCATACGAATTTCTAAAGCCATTTGAGATTGTGGATGCATCGTGAAGATGTTCCAGAACATCTAAAATATCGTGTTCTTCGTGTATAATATGAGATGCCTATCTGAAAGAGGAGGGTTTGCTCAGAAGATGCAACCTAGGAGGGAAAGTAATACAACAAAAGCAAAGACAAAAAAAAAAGAAAAAATAACAAGTGCAAAGAATACTAACTTCTAGAATTATGCCAACATCCAATAAATTTATTTTCTTTTAACTGATAAACTCCGGTATTCGAAGCACATGAGATACTTGTTGCTATATTAACTACAATAATTATGCCAACCTCTAACAAATTTATCAACGTTTCGCATTAAATATTGATCATTAGAGGAATTGTGGCTTTGGAAGCGTCTATTGTTAACATTCCTTATATACATCAAAAATAGTTGTGTAATAATGGCTTGGATGCACCACTCAAGGCACGATCCAAAGCAACCATGCTCCAGGTGTATCCAAGTTGCCAGATAACTTCACGTACTTATCAGAGTAGATAGAACAAATGCTGTGGGCCGAAAAATAAAAAAGAATATATCACTCAAACAAGAAGTTACTTTATCCTTAAGCAAGCCATCATTAACGCTTGGGCTCATTTGGTCTTCACATGTCACCTAGGATGAGGATGTCTTAGAATACACACCACAACTTGGCGTGCATCTAAACCATCCTTAAACAAAATTCCTTCGGATGATCATAAAAAATTAACACCAAATTAGATGAAGCTAAACAATATCCACACATTCCTCAAAAATCCACCAAATAAAATCATCTCCTCACCTTTTATTTCTAATACTTCAACCTTAACAGATCAATTATCTAAACATGACATAAGTTGCTCCACCTGTCGTAGCTCTCTGAGGCGTAACAAATATAAATATATTTTCTTAGGGTAATTGTAACCTATTGGGAGATTTGAGGACTTCACATAAATGACAATTATAAAAGGTTGTTGCAAATAGGCATAAGACTATTTATGAGGTTTCTTCATTAATATAGGAAATTGTAAATTTTAAAAAGAATAATGTAGTACAACGAGATTGAACAAGCTTCCTACACCAAGCAATAAAAGAGGCAAGAACAAGATTCCTACACCAAGCAGTCAAAAGACATTCTTTCATTCAATTCTTCATGGAAAATTTTAGAGTGAATCTAAAATTGGTAGAAAATTAATACTTCAAATCTATTTGTCTAATAAATTTCTCCATATATGAATGCAATTAAAAACACAACCGTGTAGTTCTGAAATCTTATATAACAGGAAATGAGAGGGATAAAAAATATCCATAAAAAGAACGAATCTATAGGTTTCAAATTGGTATGTGAAGTTACTAGCAATAAGAATGCTTCGGTGAGGTTAGACTATAAACTTGTTAAAAAGTTATACGGGAATAAAGGATGATCATCCTCTAATTTCTAAACAATTATTCTGTAAGTTTTCGCCAACGTAGATAATTTAGGATAGGGGAGAAGAAACTATATAATTTTCTTTGTTAAGCAATCCTATTTTTCGACCGCAATCCTATGGACTAAAACTGAACATTTATGACGCATGCAGTTTTTTTGTTCATTGCACTATGGTAATATTTTTCTTCATACCTATGTCACTTCTATCCAAGCTTATGCCTCAAATTACAAATGCATTACTCACTCACCAAAGTCAAAAAATTCATCCAAAGAAAATCCTATTTCTCGCCTTGCATTGCAACAAGTTTAAATTTATGGAGCAAGAGAAAAAGAACAAAAGTTCTAATGAGGTTGTGGAAGAAAAAAAATAATGGTTTAGCGTTGATGATTCTAAATGAATCTATCATGTGCATGGAGCCTAATCATGCCCCACAAGCATCTGAGATTATCGCCATTATATGTCGTTTCATGAAAAAAAATTACCATAATACCATTGAGAATATTGAAAATTTACATTATTATAATAGAGACACCAGCAAAATAATAGAAGCCCTCCCTATGGTGGGCATACTTTTTCTCCATATAGGTTTCACAAAATAATATTCTGCTAAATAAGTATTCATGCATATTTCTTCTCCCACCCTTCCTGTTCTAATTTAGGTTTTCTTTGGTTGTTTAGTTTTTCTTTCTTTCATACTGTTTTCCCAAATTTACATACACTTCAAATGAATACCACTGAACACCATTGCAGGTATCTCAACAACAATTAGATTTACTCCACCATTGTATTGTAGTTCTCACTTCATTTCTCATAAACATAATTTATACATTCATGGCAAAAACAACACGAAAGATAGAAGAAACTATAAATTTAGTGACTTGCTTCCCTATTGCCCTATTTTTTCACTTGCATACATAACTTTTGATGCATGTTATCTGTTTCCTGTTTCTTTAATCAATCTCTTCAACTTCTCAGCTCAAATCTTTTTGTGCTTTTAATTGATCTAATGCATCCTTACAAATCTCTTTTCTACATCAAGATGAAATCTCCATAAAATAAGATAACGAGCATTCTTCTACAGTTTTGCTGTAGAAAATTTCTGATATATATTATTGCAAAAAATATTTATTTTTTTGCGTTAAATTATAAAAAAAAAGTTTAAAACAATAAAAAACAATTGGCATTTATGAATCCCTCTACCTGCTGGGATTTGATGGGATTTGTTCATGCAAATGTTCCTTGGCAAGATTGGCTAACGTCAACTGCTATTCTTCCTTGTCTTCAACTTTAATAACAATTTTCTATCATGTTTACTTGATATTCCTCAATATTAAAAGTTGATCTTTATATGGTTGCCGATACAAAAATGAAAGCCTATGTTTGTTGGAAATTGAATTCATGCGTCTTCATATTAATTTATTCACAGTTTTGTTGTCAAGCTTATTTATGTGTAAAGCAGGTCTTTGATGAAGGATTCAATAAGAAAAGAATAGATTTCCTATTATGTTGATTCACACCATGGGATCAGTTCAATGCTATAAGATTTCAACTCAGCTCATTGAATTCTCTAGTTCAGCAGCTCTTCAACTATCATTTCAGAAAACATCTAGTTCTTTTGGGGTTAATTCATTGGCTGATTTTCGCTGTTTCTTGGTTGTTGTTATTAAGGATCAATGTTCTAGCTTATTAGCTGATTCTATGATTATTGACTACTAGGCATTTATCTCCCAAGTATTGTTGTGCTATGTGATTTTTTTCCTTTTTTATTTGGCCTTTTTGGTTAGTAATAGCTGCAGTTTCTTATTTATTCCAAGTGATTCATGTGGCTCAAGAATGCTGCGGGATTTTTGGATCGCTAACTTCTGATTTCCTCCTATAACATGACTTGATTCGCTTATGGTTTCATCCTATAATGTGGATTGACAGGATACCATGACTTGATTGGCTTCTGTTTTTCTCCTATGACTCCTATAGTGCGACTTATTGGTTGTACCCGATCACTGTAGCTAGGTAGATTGGAAACTTGATGAAACTAGTTGAAAGTGACTAAAACAATAATTTTAAAATTAGAGACTTTCTTAAAAGCAAGAATTCAGGATAGATTGAAATATATTATAATTAAATAGATCTTACAACAATAACAACAACAAGCCTTTACCCACTGAGTGGGGTCAGCTACATGAATCCTTTTTCTCCATTTTGCCCTATTGAGGGTCATATTTTCATTTAATTCAAAAAGATTAATATCATTTTTTATACAATATGCCCAAGTCTTTTTAGGTCTACCTCTGTCTTTCTTAACATAAGTAGAATCTAAAACATCCATTCTCCTAGCAAGATCATCAAATAGTCGACGTTTAATGTGACCAAGCTATCTAAGATGACTCTCTAATCTTGTCCACCACTGGAGCTACACCAACCCTATCACGGATATATTCATTTCACATTTTGTCTTCCAAGTGTCAAGCCACTCATCCACCTAAGCATCCTCATCTCAGCAACACTTAACTTTGTCTTATCCATCTTTTTTAAAGGCCAACATTCTGCATCATAGAGCATTATAGGTCTCACCACCATCTTCTAAAATTTTCTTTTCAATATAAGCGGTAATTTTCTATCACACAATAGGCCTGATGCATTTCTCCACTTCAACCAACCAACTTAAACTCCACTAATAACATCCCAATCTATATCACCACCTTTTTGAACAATAGACCCGAGATACCTAAAACGTTTTCAAGATTTGTATCTCTTGAAGTTTACTCATAAAGATTTATAAGAAAACAATAATAAATCTTCTCCAATAAAATTTCTTTCTTCAAAAGGTATCATTTGTATTAATTTTTCTAGTACATTCCAAAATTTTTCTTTTGAACTTATATCTAAAACTACTTGAGAAACATAAACACCTATAACATTAAAAATCTTAGTATCAACAACAATCTTTAGAGTTATATTTGAACTATATTATCTTTCAAACTCTTATCTTTAATTACATCTACACCATTTCTAGTGCGACTCATAATTGAATACCAAAGTTTAAAGCCTAATCTATCAATCTCCTTAATATTTTCTCCAAACCATTTAAATAGATCTTGATTATAAAAATTTTCTTATTTTTTGTCATTTATAGGCTATAAATAAGACACCTAGTATATATAAAATGGATTAGGCATTCAATATTGATATAAAATTACATGTTTTCCACTATCCTTATGTTTGTGCTGGTTTGTTGTGTCTTCATAAAGTATTTCACAGATATGGACAACTATTTTCAGGCGTGAGTCTTCTTGTATCAATGTGAAGCTTGATTTTGCCTTTGGGTATTGTACCATTGTGCTTGTTCTAGTTTATTTAAGCAACAATTTTGCATGTGTAAGTGCAATTTTATTAAGTATGATGCATGACTGATTTTCTTTCTAAAGTTTGCTAATATTTTATGTTTGGTCGCTCTTTTCTTTAGGATTTTTAGATTTGAGTGTGATCAACACTTTTACATCAAAAGCAACTATTTTTTGCTAAAGGTCAAAAGTTGATTAAAAAGTGAAATATTGCCAATTTCTAATTTCATTATGCATCTCATCCTAAAATGCATTAGCAAGCCCAGTGTACCATCATGCATCACACACATGCATGCATATAAAATATGAGTTGAAAATTTT